GATCTAGTCCTATTGGCAGACATCCATTTAAAATGTAGGCAACGGCATGAAAAAATTGCTTCTACTTTAATACTTTAAGTAAATATACAAGCCTGTACTTTGTTACTTTTAGAGTATTTTTTAACACAAGTATCTGTACTTTTACTCAAGTACGGAAAGTGAGTACTTTTGCCATCTCTGTGCACGACATACATGAGCGGGGCGGAGCGCTGACGGAGGATGTGGAATCACCATGCTATTTTCCAAATTCCCAACTTAGAAATCATGGCAGGTCTGAAATTGTCGTCATTGGTGCACGTCCACTCTGAGAGACAGAATCTAAACAAAAAATCCACAGTCACAATATATGATTTTTTTAAGAACTATTTTTGTTTGATACAGCTGCAAATAAATATTTGAACACCTGAGAAAATCAAAGCTAATATTTGGTAAAGTAGCCTTTTTTTTGCAATTCTAGAGGTGAAAAGTTTCCTGTAGTTTTTCACCAGGTTTGCACACACAACAGGAGAGATTTTGGCCCATTCCTCTACACAGATCTTCATTGATCAGTCAGGCTGTCGCTGAGAACCACGGAGTCTGAGCTCCCTCTAAAGGCTCTCTATTGGGTTTAGGTCAGGAGACTGGCTCGGCCACCTTCATATGTTTCTTCCAGAGCCACTCCTTGGTTATCCTGGCTGTGTGCTTTGGGTCATTGTGATGCTGGAAGACCCAGCCTCCACCTATAATGCTCTAACTGATTGAGGGAGGTTTATTCCCCAAAATCTCCCAATACATGGCCCCACTCATCCTCTCCTTAATACAGAGCAGTCACCCTGTCCCATGTGCAGAAAAACACCCCAAAGCATGATGCTACCACCGCCATGCTTCACAGTAGGAAAGGTGTTCTTGGGATGGCTCTCATCATTCTTCTTCCTCCAAACACGGTTAGTGTAACCAGACTCCTCTGGATCATCCAGATGGTGATTGATGAACTGAAGACGGGCCTCTGGGAGGCGGACATTCTGAAGGCAGACTAACAGGTCTGCCTTCAGAATCTAGGGTCAGAATTCTAGGGTCAGAATTCTAGGTGTTCAAATACGTATTTTCAGCTGATTCGGACAATTTTAGACCCCTCCATGATTTCTAAGTGGGGGAACTTGCAAAATAGCAGGATGTTCAAATACTTATTTTCCTCCCTGTATATTTCTGTTTACAGAGATCTGATCTGATTATAAAAAATAGATTTAAAAGATTTTATTATGGTGCTGCTTAATAATTATAAATATGCAATAAACAGTTTTACTAAAAGCAATTTTTACATTTTAAAGCAAAGCAAAGACCTTTTTCTCCAGGACTTTATTAACAGACACTGATGCTGTAGATCCTTTTATTGGTTTCTGTTCACTTCAAGTGGTTTGATTCCGAAGTTTTACCCTCACAGCAGAAACTGAACCTTCGTGGATCAGAAACTGAATCTTGTTATATATTTTGATTAGTTATAGTTCTTTTTGAAAAGTTTTACTATAATCCTGTATGCAGATGATGCTGTTATATTTACCCACTGTCATTTTAATTATTATTGCAGCCAAACAAACTATGAGCCATGTTGCAGCTCAGCTAAAGGAGCGCCATCTACAGCTGAATGTCTCCAATAAGTCTGCCTGTTTTTCAGGACCATGATCCTGAAGTAGAAAACATGGAGCTAACCGACAATATGTGCTTTTTAAATGTGTTTCCTTTAGATCGGTGAGAAGAGTTTGTTCACCAAAGAGTTGGAGAACGCCCTGGAGAGGAATGAGTGAGTGTCTGTCTGACTCGGGTAGATTGGGTTTGGGTCCAACAGGAAGAAGAATCCAAGGCTTTTTAATGGGAAGAAATTAGTTTAATATTCAATCAATTAAACACGACTCAAAGGTTTAAAAAAAATCATCCTGCTGTTGGTTCTGATTACCATAGTATTAACCTCCTATGACCTTTGTTTACATATTTTTTTCTTTGGCAGGTAAAATCTGAAAACTTAAAGCCCTGAACACACCGAATACAATTTAGCTTCTGATCTGACAGAAAATCGCATCATAGAGGTTGTGGCTTTTAGCGTCAGGGGGGATGATCACACCCGACACCTGCGTAGCTCTAGCCCAGATAGATCCCAGGTCTACTGTAAAGTAAAACACCTTCACTTTGGCAGAAAACACAAAGAGAAAAGAGTTCGGTTTGGACCATTTTTACAGACAGAATAAACAGATGGGAATCCATGAGGACGGGAAACAGATCAAATAAAATACTGATCTACTAGTGACCTGCTGTTAGCACAGCGGATCACTTCTCTTCATGAAGAAATATACTTTGACAAACTTCACAGATCTCTGAGAATCTCCTCTTACTGCCTTTAGCAGAATAACTTCAGCAAGTTTATTTCTAGAGCTCAACTGATAAAGACATCTGTGACATCAACACAGTGAAACATGGTGGTGGCAGCATCATGCTTTGGGGAGGCTGGTTTTATGCAGCCATGGTGAAGCTGGTCAGAGTTACTAGGAAGATGGTGGGAGGCTTCATCAGACAGGCGTCCTTCCAGCAGGGCAAGCTCCTATTGGCTGATTCATTAACGACCATTTCTGTCTGAGAAAGATCACGACCAGAAGAACATTTCTGATGGACTGTAAGAATCCATCCATCCATCATCCATCCATCATCCATCCATCAATCCATCCATCCATCC